GAAAATACCACATGATCTCACTCATTTCTGGATAATGAAGACCATTATAAACTTATGAACAAAAATAGATACAGAGGCAGAGCTGCCTCGAACAGGACACAGGACGGCCAGGAAGGGTGGGAGGGCAGGAGGGGGGTGGGTAAGAGATTAACCAAAGGACTTGTATGCATGCATATAAGCATAACCAATGGACATAAGACACTGGGGGGTAGGGAGGCCAGGGGGTTGTCAAGGGCAGGGGAAAATAAAGGAGACATATGTAATACTCTTTGTAATACTTTAAGCAATAAAAAAAAGAAGGAAAAAAATTCTGCTGTTCTGTGAGGCATTTAAATTCCATCTTTTAGATAATAAGCCTAGCCTAAGTCTGTCTCCTGGGAAAGACACAATGAATTTCCTGTACCAGTCAGAGATGATGTAAGGACATGTGGCTCTCGGGGAAGAATTTTTGGCTTGGTATTAGAGCTTGAATGTCTTCAACTCCTACACTGTGCAGTGTTTTAAAGCAGCCAACAGAAAGGGCCTCCGAGGTTGATTCCACATTAACAGGGTCTGGGGCCAAGGTACATGACAACTACATTACAGTAAAGGCACTGTCATTGTCCCACATGCAGGCTACCTTCCTCCATTTGTTTTGGCCTTCCAGACTTCCCTTTGCTCTTTGCCTTCTCTCTGTCATTTTCTATTTTAGAGAATCATAATCCATATGCCTCTTTTAGTTGCATTTAGCCCTTGAAATTGTCTTATTAGCATTGTTTATGTGTCCTGCCTGTCTATTTTACATAAAGTAGCCAGGAAATTCCCAGTCATGGAATCCTAGGCAAAATCCTATTGACATAGACCCTCTTTCTATATTGCATCTAGGAATATGGTATCTTAGGAATAAGAGGAAAATCCTAGCCTAAGAGGCTTTCAAAATATACAAAGGCTCTCTGCTTCTGTACCCAAGACCATCAATAGGTGAGGATTTGAAATGGACATAGCCATTTTTCCCAGTGCTAGAAAGGAAACAGGTACAATAACTTCAAGCCCATTACCACCAAGAAAGAGGTCTCTATGCTACTTTCTTTTTAATTAACACCATTTTTTCCTATACAGTCTTTGAATACTCTGATAATTTTGCATGATTTTCATAAGCAGTTGTCAGAACAAAAGGTAAGTCACCTGAATATGTTACCAAGAATTATAATTATAATGTCTTTTATTGGTTCTTATCCCCAGTCCTCCATTTTATTTTTCTAATCAATTTGGACTGTTGGTTCTCTTATTACATAATCTACTTTCTTTATTACCTGGCTGTCAACCACATACCCTAAGAAGTTTCTCTGAGAAGTGAGAGTTGGGCACTTATCTACCAAGTATCTAAGCAGTTAAAGTATCCCTGGGGGAAAAAGGTGAGGTTGATAACACCTCGAATTGGCATTTTAAGTTTCCCGGTTATTCTCTCTGACTCTACTAATATTACTACCCTTTGTCCTTTTTATTTTTAATCACTAGCTTTATCAGTACATTCAGAGAAATCATTATTGAATACATAACTCAGAACCCTGGGCCCCTGCACCTCTGGCATGTTCAAGGACCAGAGCAGAGCCTGAAGCTTTAGGAGGAGAGCTAAAATACAAGCTTTGTCAGAAGCTGGTTTGGACCAGGATACATATACATTGTGAATTTATTACCATACTAACTTCAATTACCTTAATTGTTTGTGTATGTGATAAGGACACTTAAGACCTATTCTCATCAACTATCGTCTATCAGCTTTCTACTTTCCTTTCCAGTCATTGACCATATGCATAGCATGCCATCCTTAAGCCAGTATCCCAGTTCCTCTGCATTCTAATCCAAATGTTCTTGGGAGACCGGGAAAATTTCTACTTGACAAAAGCCATTACTCATTGGCAAGGAATAAACAGACACAATTTGAGAGAGAAGTGACAATGAAACTGCATTTTTACTAAACCCTTTTCAGCCTCCTCCATTGTTACCTCCACCATCTTTTCATACATTGAAAAAATGGTCTAAACTCTTCTAAAAATAGAAAATCAGAGAAGTTCACATGGCCTGTTTATTCAAATTAGGATTGTATCCCTTATTCTGTTTATCTTCTGGGAGACCATTGACACAAAATTGGTATTGCTACTTAGGAGCTATATATGGTGTGACCATCAAGCTCCATTTATTGCAAATGGTTAACACAAGCCTTTCTTTTAAGATGCCTATAAAATCCCCATAATAACCAGTTTACAGCTTATATCTTATGCTCTGCATTAAGTTTATTTCTTTCTCCGACTTTCCCCTTAGAAAAATCTACAACTGTTCAGCTTTCCCCTCTGCCCAATTCCCTATTGTCACAGCTCCTTATTTTCATAGGTAGAGAAGCCACCAAAACATGGGTGGAGAAGCCTAAAGCTTGGAGCCATCAATTAGAAACTCATTAGTCTTGCTATTCAAGAGTGTCCCCTGAAAAAAGTTACTTTCCTGTCTTTATCGACAGGACTTGCTACTAATATTTCATTTAATTTCAGGAAACACAGAGTACCTGTGTCAATTCCTGTGCTACGTACTGGAGATACAGAAATGTACCTAACATGCTTTCCACCTTTGAAGAACTTTTAGTCAAATGGAGGAACACAGTTATAATTTTCTCCTCAAATTTAATTTTTCCCATCTCATTCATTTTTGTATTTAACAAATTGCTGAGAGTCTACAAAATACCAAACAATGAATTAGGCACTGGTGGTACTGATATTAACAAAACGGACATGGAACTTTCTGTCAAACACAGGATCTATGTCTTTGGAGGTCAGTGTTTGACCAAGGAGTGAAATCGCTATAAAGGATTATGGGTGGTGCTGGTTTAATGATTAAAACAGCACCGTAATTCCATCACTTTGTTAATAAAAGTCTGTCTCTATTTCCTTAAAAAGTATTCTAGACCAAGTGAGTCAAGAACCAGCCAACTAAAGTAAATTTTCATCTATTTTTTCCATGTTATCTGTGGTCTCAGGGGAGCCTGGGTTCATGCTTCCACTAGCTGCTAAGGCCTGATGCTTCACCAAAAGTCATCCCTGACCCTGGGTCAATTGCCCAGTCTACCAAGTAGCACATGAATAAGTTTTCAATGAAGAGGTTTTTAAAAGCACCATAAATGTGTTTCCCAGGCAGAGTGATGAAAGCTATTCTGCCTTGTGACAGGATTGAAGTGCAGCTAAAAAATAACCTGAAATTTATTGACCAAAGTCTTCCCTCCCTATTAGGAAAGAGCCATTTTTTCTACTTAATCATAAGGAAGAAAAACAAACAAGCAAGTGGAACATGAAACTTCAAAAGAGATAGAAGGTTTGTATTATTTGAAATGCCTTCAGGGTTGGCCTGCTTGGGTTGAAAAGGAGCAAAGAGAGGAACTGGTTTGGGCAGGGGCTGTTTGTGTGTTTGTAGTACCGCTAGATTTAGGAATCTATTTGCACATGTGTGTCTATGGAGTGCCTAGGGTAACATGTGGGTTGTTTGTATTCTGTGTGTATTTTCTTACATGCATATACATTTTTCTGAATGTATTTATGGATGTTGGTGCATGAATGAGAGTGAGTGAGTGTATGTGTGTGTGTGTGTTCAACCTTCCCTCACAACCACTCATGACACCTTCTCCTGAGAAATAACCTGCTTCTCCAAATGATTCCTAGAACTGTGTGACTGAGAGTCCTGTGAAGTCAACATGCCTAAACCAATTCTCATCCTCCAGTCTTTTGCCTCCAGTCTTTTTGTTCAAAAAGTAGCTTCAGTTGCTTTCTTATGAAAATCCTAATTATTAACTCATACCCAGCAATACAAAGAGAGAGCTTCATATTCTTGGTGAATCTGGTTATCCTCAATGGCCTATGAGCTCTCTCTGAATATAGGGATTCCCAGAACCCCATAACGCTGATTTGGACTTTTAAGGAGTACTTGTTGAATTACCAACTAGCAACAGTTTTAATGCACACCTACATCTGAATCTGTGGGAATTAGTAGTCAACAGGTTAAAAAGGGGCAAGATAG